ACGTTCTACGCCGCTGTATCCTTCCTCACACTGTCATCACTTCATGCCATAATTCACCTTAAGGCCACTTTTCATCTGAGGCAACAATTCGTTTGGTTCTTCAAGCTGGCTATTGGTGGCCAACGCTTCACAAGGATGTTGCTACCTACGTTCAGACCTGTGATCCCTGCCAGGGTGCTGGTCGCCCAACTCACCGCGATCTGATGCCGCTTAATCCTCTGCTTCTGGTGCTTCCTTTTGAGAAGTGGGGCATCGATTTTGTGGGACCGATCAAGCCGGCCAGTCATCCTTCCTGTTGTCGCTACATTCTCGTTTGCATGGACTACGTCACAAAGTGGGCCGAGGCTGAAGCTCTCACGGAAGATACAGCCAAGGTTGCGACTTTTCTTTACAAGAACATCATCATGAGATTTGGCTGCCCTTTGGAGCTGGTGAGTGACCGAGATACTCACTTCATCAATCAAGTGATCGAGACCTTGGTGGAGAAGTATGGCATCGCTCATCGCTACCACCCTCGTGCTTGGTGCGCACCAACAAGATATGTGTGACATCATCATGAAGCTCGCAAGTGCTTCTCGCACAGATTGGGATCACCGTTTGCTCGATGCACTCTGGGCATACCACGTTGCTTACAAGGTCACCACCAAAGCTTCACCGTTCCATCTTGTTTATGGACAAGAAGCCATCCTGCCGCTTGAGCTCGAGATTATGGCTGTCGAGCACAACTTGGACTGGGACAACACTCTTCAAGCTCGACTGGACATGCTTCTACAGCTCGACGAGCGTCGACTTCTCGCTTTCCAAGCTCGCGAAGCATGCCGCAATGGTATGATCGTCATTTGCGTGCTAAACATTTTTCTGCTGGTGGTTCTGCTGTATGATAGCAAGCACTGAAAAAAGCATGGGAAACTACGTGTTCACTGGCTTGGGCCATATTGCATTGTTGAAGTTTTTTCTAACGGCTCAGTCCAGCTTGAAGATTTCAGTGGGAACTTCTTACCAACTGGTGCTCACTTGCGCAAGTACCATGAGTGAGATGAAGCTGCCATGGAGTTATGTGCTCTGGGACGGAGCCCAATAGGTGGGGGGTGATGTAGATTCCAACTTTAGTCATGTCACCAGTGGGATTGTATGTAATGTATGTCTGTCCTGAAGATTACCAAGAGGGAGTGGACCTGGGCTATGATGGTGCTGAGGCACGTCAAGAAGAAGCTATGCTGTTGATGAGAAGCCAAAAACCAGCCTAAGAACCAGACACTCTGTGCTGCTGACCTACACAGCCGCAGGGCTGCCGGGGTTTCTGGTTCTTCAAGACAAACATCTTTATTCTTTATATATAATCCCTTTTTACTTCTCTCCTATCATGACATGGCTAAAGTTGGAATATTCTCTCAGTTCTACATGCACCATTCACGACTTGATTTTATCAACTTTTACATAGTGCATCACAGTGTTCATCTACAATTTCCTCTGGCTTCAAAATGCTGCACAAGCTTAATATGGAAGAAATTCAAAAAGTCTTAGATTCAATGGAAAGAAAACTCTTAGAAAACAATTTAATTTGTGCAAAATGGGCAAACCACATTATATCGTTCAGTATTATAACTTTATACTACAGAACTACTACATTACTTCACCTAGGGAATTTTATAGGAATTAACCAAACATGAAATTTCATTATATATATTTGACAATTACAACTTTAGGGTTCTTTAGTATCCAAGTGGCATTATAATAATTACTGCCTAACTTGGTTTAGTTTCATAATGCCATACAAAATTATGTTCTATGAGGATGGAGCAAATTGATACTTCACTAATTCATAATAAGGAAGTGTTTTAAGTGTATAGAATATAGAAATGTACATATTTAATAAGCTTAATAACCTCAGATTATATATATGAATGAGTGGTCCAGATTAAAATCAATTTGACAACTATGAAAAACTATATAATAATTTTATATGGCATTATTATATCATCACCTCCTATTTAAATGATGGAAGGGAAATAAGATTCTCCTATCGATAAGTTGAGATTTGGAAGAACATCAGGAGGACACACCATTGAATTTGTAGGTGGTGTAATTTCTTTTTAATCCTTTTATACATATATAATTTCTAGAGGATTTATTTGTTAAATATTATGTCAAATATTATAAACTTGTAATCTAACTTGCTGCAACACTCAATATAGTCCTTTCTATTAGGTATAGAGCCCTTTAAAAAAACCACTTATTATAAGATTAGGAAAAATAAACCAACACCAAATCATTCATATTGATGGATGATATGAGAGTTGTAGTATTATTATTATCCCACTTGTATGTGACTTAAGTATTTAGAAAACTCTACTTGAACCAGTAGAAAAATACTCATTAAATATTAATTTCAAGATTTAACATCATTGGCAATCATAAAAATAAACTCAAATTGATTAGCAATATATGCATAACTATATATGAGTTTATATAATGAAGCACTAATAGAACTTTACACCCCATAACATATGTGTACTAGAGAGATAATAAATAATCATCCCAATCTAAATATTAAAAGTTATATACTTTGCAATTATCCCCTTGAAGGTTTAAATGAGCAATTCTACCAAACTATCTATTTATGGATACTAAACACTCATGAAAGTGTGGTATATCAACAGCCAAGACATTAAGATGTAAATTACCTTAACCATAAATGCAAAACTATTATCTAAAAGAATTCATTTCAAACAAGAATGCTAAAACATTACTTAATTAGAGAGGAAGTATTTAATAACAATTGTAAATGCATTAATAAGAGCACAAACTTCCACCTAAGAAGTTATGAGACCAGAAGCAATAATGACATATTCATTATTGGCAGTTAGTCATAAAAAAAATGTCACCAGCTCAAACAAATAAAAAATTACAAACACACAAAAAGGAGTGTTATGAGTTTAGCACCAAATAAAATTATACACATACAAGATGACTATAAAAAACAAATTCCCTAAGATGTTGTTAGCTATAAAATTAAGATCCAAATAATAAAAAGGTTTGATTAGATATATCTAGGGCTGGATGTATTTAGGACTTAATATATCTGAGACCGAATTCAAAACCGAGTTTAAAATATAGACAAAGATTGAATTCAAGACCAAATATAAATAGGGGTCAACTATAAAGGATAATAGCCCAAGAGTAAGAATGTCCTTTTTTTTCCAATTAGTTAAATGTTTTGGGATATTTGGAGTTAAATATCATTAATTTTGCATACTATTGGGTTAAATAACCTCTAAAACACTTGAGACCAAGTTTAAGTTTAAGTTTGAGTACTATTGAGTTAAGTAACCTTTAAGAACATTTCAGACCAAATCCAAGAAACAACTTTACAATCCCTACTATTTCTGTAGATTTCAATGTTATTTCCTAACATTATATATTGCATGTGTAATTGCAAGTTTGTCTTGCTTTAAACCCTAGCCCTAGTAAGAAATGGTTTTAAAAAATTTAAAATGCAAATTTAATTTATCAAATTAGCAACTTTGTGAATAATCTATAATAATAAGAACGAAGAACCCACACCCCCGCAGCCGTCCGATCCCAGGCCCAGGGCAGCCTCGAAAGCCATGGTTCTCAGCAAGGGGAGGCCAGCCCAGGCTCGGGCCAGGGCCGGTGGCCATGGTTGGCGGGAATATCGGCTCAATGTTGTGGCAGCCAATGGGTGGGATGCACGCGTGGCTGGGAAGGGAAGAGGGCGTGGTGACAAGTGTTATGCCATGCACTCCTAGGGCTCCCTGGCTGCTCTGGTCGGACACGGTTGTGTGGGATTCCCATGAGAGCCTGTGCGTGGTAAGTAACAGGGGCGAGAGTAATGGTAGGATCAACGAGGCCTAGGCGAAGCAGGAGATGCTGGCTTACCAGGCCCTGTGCCAAGCCGAGCTCATGAGGTCGGAGAAGACGCCCCACCGGACACAACCTGGCACCGCACCCAATCACCAAGAAGTCGAAATATTTCGTCGAGCTTCCATCCAGACGTGTTCTTGAATGGTGGCCATTCTGGTGTGAGGAAATCCTCCCATTTGCGGCAGCGTTCGGTATGATCCCTGTTGGAGATCTGCATCTTTACCAGTGGATTCATAGAACGCTACTCTTTGAAGGTATGGCATGGAGTCCCTCTTTTGCATTAGAGCGAATGTTGTGAAGGGGAGCTGACACCTCTCTGTGGGATTTGCAGGCGAGAGAAGATGTACCTCGGTGATTTTCACTTGAAAGTCGTCCATTTTCATCTTCACCCCATATTCCAAACAGCACGCATGGATTGATTGGAGTCAAGTCATGTCACACAAGCAGACGAGACGATGGACTCTGGATATTAACACGTAAGGTGGTACACAGGATTAATTCGTTTTGACTTTCTCACTGAACTTCGCCATTGTTTCAGGAGGAAGGAACACCATGACTTCAATGGCTTTCCCACCTCTCGGTGACAGGTCATAGAAGTAGAAGCCGTTCCACAGCTTCGTAGCGTGTCGAACAGTGGCTGGTTTCCCCCATCCAAAGTCCAGACTATACATTGGAAATCTTGGAGAGCTGCTAGAGATTGGTAAACACAACATTGGAGTTATTTTGTTGTTCTTGAGTGTGCTTCGCAAAAGTCTAATATTTTCCTTTCAGATCATTACATAGTTGTGAAATTTATATATATCCAACTGTAGTCTGCATTTCTATTCTGCATAAACTTCTATACAAACTCAATTAATATATATATATATATATAATCGAAGTGACTGAAAATGCTTCGCCTCTGCCATCTTTTGAGAACCATACGACATAGTAAACAATCTAATGGAGATTTAGATGCCTCTGAAACTATGATTGATCATGATACACATACTATAGCTGTTCAAAATAATCATGATAATGATTCTATACACCAAAATATTAATCTTGATAATGACTATATACAGCAATCAGTTGTACACTCAGAAGCATCTGGAACCTTACATGCATGTCATTATGACAATTACATATATCAAGCAATATTAAATCCACCACTCCCACCCATGAATACCACACTAGCAAGCCATAGCATTTATAATGACTTTAACATAATAAATTTTAATATTGGTAGTTTATCATTTGTTTGTACTTTTTGTAATGCATTGCATTTTAAAGATGAAAACTCTTCAATATGTTGCCAGAATAACCAAGTTATATTACCTCCAATTTCACCCTTACCATTTGATTTACTTTCACTTTACAAGCAAAATAAGAACTCTAATTTTAAAACAAATATTAGACACTATAATAGTGCTCTTACTTTTGCATCTATGTCTTCTAATATTGATATTGTAAAAGGTCATGGTCCTTATCGCTTTAAAATCCATGGTCAAATATATCATAATATTGTTTCAGCACATCCTTCTAAAGGTCAATATCGAACTTATGGACAACTTTATATGCTTGATACTCTAGAAGCTACAAATATAAGAAAGCAAAACCCTTTTAATTCAAGTTGTGAGACAAACTTACTTAAACATGATGTTCTCCTTCGTCATGTTAACCC